GTGTGTGTATGGGGGGCAATGTATATGTGTGTGTGTTAAGGGGAGGGGGGCTTTTTTTTATAATATATATTTTTAAATATTTAATTTAAAAAAAAATATATATCCTATGTCCCCCCTCCCTTCTTACCTTTACTGGGTGGGAGGGGGGACATATTTCGTTCCCTGGTGGTCCCAGTGGTGATTCCCTGGTGGTCCCAGTGGTTACAGTGAACTCTAGCCCGCGCTCCCGGGCTAGAGTTCACTCTCGCGAGATTTGGAGCGTTGCCGTGGTAACCGCGGCAATGCTCCAAATCTCACGAGAGGAGGACCCGGAGGAGCTGCAGGCTGAGCTCCGGGTCCTCCCTCTCACTCCCTCCTTCCCCCGCCGGCTGTCAGCACGGTGCCTGCGGACCGGGGAGGGAGATCTCTGATCTCCCCTCCGGTCCGCAGGCACATTGCTGGGCTGGCACCTGCATGTGCTGCTGGTAGGGGAGGGAGAGGGAGACCGGTGGATTTCTCGGGGGGGGGCAATTGCCCCGTTGCCCCCCCCCCTGGATCCGCCAGTGTTATCAATGTAACTCCCGAAGATGGCCAGTAGGTGGCTTAGAGTGCCTCCCTAAAGTCAAATGAAACAAATAGACTTTAATTAATTATGTCCTATTTTATTATTACTTATTTTAATCAATGTCCACCCTGCTAGCTAGGCTTGATTAAATCTTTAGTTCTAAGGTAAATTAAACATTTCAGTTTGTAGTTTAGTAAAAGGGGACATTTTGGACAAAGCTGGGAGGGGCCCATCCAGTAACTAAAAAAAACCAATATACCATTTGATACCATTGATCATTGATTAGGGGGAGGGGTAGTACAGAAATACAAGAGTTTGAAACACAGGAACAGATAGGTATGTGGGTAGGCGGGGACAGTAGAGCAAGGAGAGTGCAAATACTGATTATACCAGCCAGAAATGGGCGTGGCTAATCTGGCTCTGGAGGATGTTTGGGGGGTTGGTAATCAGATGCCAGGGGGGGGGAGGGGATGTCCAAAGCAGTTGTAATTAAGTCCTTAGTTCTGACCACCATGTGGCTACATTGTTTCCCATATGACACAGTTTAATTCACCAAGGCAACAATCAGTTTCCAACAGTCAATATATAGAAACTGATCATAGAATTCCAGCCTACTAGTTACAGCCACATGTACACCCTGCACTAAATTTAAGTGAAGACTGCTACATGGAGGCCATGCGGCCACCAGGACAAGCTACTCCCTACTTTTTTTTTAAACATACAAGACAAAAGACTAACAGCCAAGTGAATCAGATTATTTCAACAGAACGTCTGATTCAAAAAGCTGTACAAATATACACACAGTTTCAACAGACACACCAATCTCCTTATCACCAGCAACACATTGCGCAGTCACTAGGCCCAAACACACACACAGGATCCTCACATGCTCAACAATATCACGACGTCGCACACACGAAATTAAATCAAAAACCCACCAAAGACTATACACTTATCGATGTAACTATTATTCAAACCATACAACTATCCACGCTATTAATCCATATAAACTAACCGATCACATAACATTTCAACAAATTCATCTCTACAATTATCTGTACTATAAATCAACTTTTGACTAACCAACTATATCACATTCTAGTAACCTCATCTTTACAGTCAGTGGTTATGGTACAGTTAGTAAGTGGTTATAATACAGTTTTAAAGTCACAGATCAGTTAGTAACAGTTATGGTATTATACATATAACATAAAACAGCAATTGTTAGTAATTTTTACACAATGTCAGTGGTTATGGTACATGTCAGTAGTTATGGTACCGTGCGCTATTTTACAGTTATACACACAATTTACACTCCCACTAGACAGCAGAGCTCTAACTTTCTAGTAGGACATACAAGTTAACCAATTCACCAACTACAATATATTTAACAACATTTACAATAATCCCAACTAAACTATTGGCCAGTACCTTGAATAGACTACCTAAAACTATATACACCCGTTTTGGTTAGCCACACTGCCCAAGCACCACATATAGCGAACTAGAGGGCGGAATTTACAAAATTGCCCTTCTAGTCTATTTACTCTATCAAAAGTCTAGTGGGTTCCAAATTTACACGCCTTCCCACTTAGCCAAGATAGGTTGAGAGCTAGCGAACCGAATTTACACAGGCGCCGCTTAGTCTCCCGGTCCCTCCGACCTAGCGAACGTAATATACACCCTAGAACGCTAGTCTAGACAAGACACCGGTGTCCGGCTAGGGCTATTTACACAGGACCCCGCCTGACTAACCAGATCAAACGGTCTTACTAAAGAGCGTTCGATCGAGCGGTGCGCCTTCGCTCCTTCCCTCCGACAGAGGGGGCAGATTCCATACACAGATTTAAACCCCTTTTGGGCCTACCGCACAATCGGTATACCCCTAGTGGGTCTGCCGTCTAAAACAGCAGTTGTCTTACCTCCTCGTTCCTGAACCTGAGTTCACACTCATCGACGGGGACACCCCAGCACTTCTTACGTAGAGGCCGATGATCTCCTGGACAACAGACCAGTGGCGCCGAGACGAAGGGAGGTCCACGCAGAAGTTCAGGGGTGCAGCCGTAGAGAACGTGGGCAAAGATAGACCGTCTCACGCCTCTGCCTCTCAGCTACCGTTGAACGATGAGCTTCCCGGCCAATGCACCAAATGATACCGGAGAAACTGACGGAAGCAAAGCACAGAGAGATGGACACAGGTTTCTTCAGGAAGGAAGAGATTCTTTATTGGATCACCGATCGGGACTCAGAGGGACTAATGTCACCAAAAATACAGCAAGTTCTGAGCCCTGAACAATAGTGCAGGCTCCCTATATAGGCACATAACTCCTCCCATTAATAGCTACACCCACATATACCTTTAACCAATCAATGAGCAGAATATAGACTTGTACATCTAGTCAAACCACATGGCCCATCCAAGACAAAGGAAATAAGTGCAATTTCAGTTCCTGCATTCCTGCACATGCTCAGTACACTGATGACAGTATCCTAGCTGTAAGAATATTAAATAGTTAACTTGTTTATATGTATTTTATGCTTTTATAAGGTTTATAACATGATTATTGCTGACTGAAGGGATATTGAATACTTAAAGTCAATATGCTGACTGTGACAGACTAAGGTATTTCTTCTATAGGATGTAAGACAATGCTAAATTTCAGGATGTCTTGCCCATTCCGATTTTAAGGATATTCTTTTCCAGACGTATGCAAAAGCTTATCTTTCCATTGTCAGAATAACGTAATACAAGGAAGTAATAAATCTTATAGTCTATACTGTAATGAATGACATATACCATGGCTAATGTAAGCAAACTATGTATAAAAGCCAGCTCTGGAATACACTCATTTGAGAGTCTTGTAAAGCTGTTGTCCGTGTGTTATTGCTTACAAATGATTCTCCATCAACATTGATTATGGTGACCGAGGGATCGAGAACCGAGGGGATTAGAGTCCATTACAACATTAACCCTTTCAGCTTGGTGTCTAGAAGTGGGATAGATAGAAGTGGATCAGCAAAACCATTTGCGGTGAGTAGCCTTTTTGTGTCTTATTTGACGCTGATTGTCTATGACCCCCTTTGGTTCAGTAAGTCTGTATCCAGTAGATAGGAAAGGTGTAAGGACTCTAGTTATATTGAGACCATGAGAGGTCTCCGGTTTATATTGAGACTATAAGAGGTCTCCGGTTTATTAGACATTTGGTCTAAATATATAGGGTTTTGGTAACCCAGGTTAGTATCTAAGATAGATACAGGTTTTTGAGACCATAAGAGGTCTCCGGTTTCTATAGGTGTTCTGAGCAGCACGGTTTGTAGATCTTTAAGTATAACCCAAACTTCTCTTTCTCCCGGTCACCTTTGTTTGTCTTAAGTGTTCTTTGTGGGTGATTGTTTGTCTATATTGGGGACACACTTTGGTAAGTTAGTAGTGTCCCCACTCTGAGTCAGCAGTATGGGAAATGTGAGTTCATGTCCTGAGTGACCAATATATGTACATGTATATGTGTGTGTATGTATATATGTGTATATTTATGTATATATGTGTGTGTATATGTATATGTGTATATATAAGATAGCAGTACTTTTAAACAAATGGAGGTTTTAAAAATACATAGGGATTAAGGAGAGAACGCAGGTAACTTGTTTTTCTTTGGTTTTTACCATATATTGGGGCTGATGTGTACTGTAGTCCTTGCTGCTGCCCAGTAGTGATGGGAGTGAGCGCAGGACTTATCTTTCTGCAAGATAGCAGTACTGTATATTAGAAAAGAAATGACTCATAGGTTGTACCTGATAGACCTACTTAAATCTTTTTGCTTTATTCTTTCTGTTGCATAGAAGTATAAGTTTATTACTCTGTTTTATTGTAAGTTATTTCACATGGGAACTGTATGCCTGGAATGATTGTTGCTTTAAAAATACTATAAGCCCACTACACTTATTATGAGAGTGGGATAGTGTAAATGTGTTGCATTGTTTGCATGATGAGCTCAGTATATTTTATAACTGAGACAAAAAGTCACTTCATTAGTATTTGAAAGTTAATTCCCCATATGGGATTAATTGTATAGAAACACCAATCAGCACATCTTCCATGCCCTGTGTGTTTGTTGCAAAGGATCCATACTGTAAATATGATTTTTGTTTGAAAATAACAGAGCAACATTTACATTTTCAGCGGTCCAACACATGCTTTATTTTGCACTGTAAACTAACCTTTTTATTGCAACAGGTTCCTTTTAAATGATCCAGTGTAATAACTACTGCTTGTGTCTTCTATGTCTCACATTATGTGTTATTTTTAAATTGTGGTATATAGCCTGAATCAGACATCATGGACAGAGGTTTTTTACCTGTGTTACTAAGGGCTCTTGGAGACTGACCGGTCTAAAGGTTTGCCATGCCTTTAAAACATGGTATAGTATAAATTTTTTAAGTCTCTGAGAGTTCTGAAAGATTCAGGTGAAACCATGTCTGTTTAATCTGGTCCAGATGTTTGTTCAATTTCTATAAGATTTAAGTTGATGCAGCATCATCTCAGATTAGTTAATGGTAGTTTTATACAAATAGTTGAGTTATGAGCGCGCTATATAAATGGATCCTTTCTTTAAATACAATACTATAGTAGATTAAAGTAATGAAGTTAATTAAGAAAATGTATACATAAGAATCCCTAAAATAAATCTAAACTAAAATTGGTATACTTTCCAATAATATGTTCTGAATACAGCTGTTAACTCTTTATTTTGTGTAAATGGTGATTGTGATAATGTGTGATAAGTGTGCAGTTTAACTTGAAAGTGGTTTAATTTATATGTTGCTGTATTGTTTTAAATTATATGTGAATCAGTTTGTCACAGTCTAGTGATACTGATAAGAATGACAGCCAAATAACCTAGCAAATAACTGTTTTATTAGTTGTTGAATACTAGCGTTTTGGCCAAGAATAGTTGGAGATTTGGAGGTGTTAGTTTAAGATTGCTTTTATATTGTGTCTATCTGTGTTTCCTAGGAGGGAGACAGAGTGTGTAGTTGTGTGCCCATAAATGTGATTTCTGTATTGGCATATCTGCTGGGTACCCATTATGTGTTTCTACAAAGATATTGTTTTATGAGATGACTAATATTACATGGGATGCTGAGTATGAGTTATATGGTTTGAAATGAATTGGTGATTATGAGCTTAGTACTTCAGTAAGATGTGCTAAAATTTGGAACAAGGTGGAAGCTGAAATGTTGGGATTATGGAAGAATAAGCAGTCTATATTCACTGCTTTGGCATATAAGCAAGATGCAAAGGAAGAGATTGGTAATATGATTTTTGTAAAGAAATTTTACAAGTGTTGGAAGGATGAGGCAGGTTTGATGTCTGGAGATGATATAGATCTCTTTAAAATACAGTCATGCCTTGGTAATATGTTGCCACAGTATTCTTTGCTTGTGAAACAATTGATCAGACTGGGCCAATTTGGATAGCTCAGATTTTCTTACCAAGGTTATAGAAAAGGAAAATGCAGGTTGTTTTGAATTAAGAAAAGATTTAGGAAAGTAAGGTTGCTTATTATGCTCAGGGATTGCCACCTACACAGGCTGAGAGCGAGGATGGGATGGAGCACATAAAGCCCGTGGAAGGGGTGGTCAAAGAGGGGCAAGGGGATGGAGACAGGGAAATCAGGGTTATAGGGGCAGGGGTAACCAAGGAGGAATAGACAGGAACACTTGTTTCAACTGTGGCCAATATGGCCACTGGAGGAATGAGTGTCCACACCCCAGGAAACCCCAGGAAACCCCAGGAAACCCCACACACCCCAACAACCCCACAATTCTCAAAATATGCCCGGTAGGCAAGAACAACACCAGACCCACTCCCAACACCACTGGCCAGCATATCGCTTAGTTCAGGACTTTAGAGCCCTGAATAGTTTAATTGTGCCCATTTCACCCATTGTCCCTGATGTGACATCCCTCATTACAGCCATTCCACATGATGCCACTTGCTTCACTGTCATTGATTTAAGTAATGCATTTTTTCTATACCTATTGATCAAGAGACACAGCTACTTATGGTTTTTATTTTTTGAAGGCTGTCAGTTTACCTGGACACGCTTACCCAAGGCTATGTGGATTCCCCAGCTGTTTATTCGTTGGTACTCCAACATACTCTAAAAACATGGACCACCGGTCATGGTTCCGTCCTTTTTGCAAAATGTTGATGATTTGTTGTTATGTAGCCCTAGCTATGAGGCAAGCACTGTGAATACTGTCAGCAACTGTAGGTCACAAGGTTGTTAAACACAAAATGCAATTGTGTAAATCAAAGGTTGAATACTTAGGTTTTGTTCTGGCTTTAGGCACCAGACAATTGAGTCCAAAACGTATTGAGGTCATTCAGAGGATTCCTACACCCACTACTCGGAAGGAGTTGCTCACCTTCCTCGGCATGATTAATTACTGCCACCATGGATCCCTGAATGCTCCCATTATGACTCAATCCTAAGGGAGGCTGTACGTTCTGACAGCCCTGAAAATGTCTGCTGGTCACCAGACATGCTAGCTGCATATATTGCCCTTACAGTTGTTATTGTGCAAGCCCAGGCTTTAGGACTACCTGTGTATTGTAAACCATTTCATTTGTATGCTTGGGACAATTGTAAAACCATGGCCGCAGTCTGTGTACAAGAGCAAGGAGGCGGTATGCGTCCCATAGCATTCTTTTCCAAAGTAGTTCGAGCTCCGGTACAGGGTATGCCGGCGTGTCTCAGAGCATTGATAGCATGTGCAATGGCTGTTGAAACTGCTACTACTATCACACTAGGGCATCCTACAATACTTCATGCCAGTCACCAGGTCACTCAGCTGACAAATCTCACCACACAACACATGACAGCCCAGCGCTTCAGTGGTTATGAGATTCTTTTTTTTTAAATACCCAGAATCTGTCTTTTGGATTAAACAAGGTTTAGAGAAAGATCAAAATGATCTGTTCTCTAAAGAGGGGAGAATAGGCATACTTGAAGAATAGGCATACTTGAAGCAAGCTGATTTATTTTCATCAGTCAGGCACATAGCAAGCACCATTCAATTCTTCATGAATTCATTTTATATTAGGAATCTCAGGCAGCATGTACAGTCTTTTGTAAGATCGTGTGAACGCTGCTCTTTTTACACACTTACAGATTGATTTTATTCATGTATCCAAAATTGGTAAGAAACAGCAATACTTACTGGTCATAGTTAATCAGTTTAGTAGATGGCATGATGCCTTTGTGACATCTAGGGAAGATGCTAGTGAAGATTATTGTTACTGAAATTATTCCCAGGTATGGCTGCCCTCTGCAGATTGGCTCTGATAATGGCCCGGTTTTTGCCAGTGGGGTTGCCCAGGAACTTGCTAAATTCTTGCAAGTTATCTGGCAGTTTCATATATCCTATCATCCACAGAATACAGGGGTAGTTGAAAGGATGAATAGGACTATTAAGGAAAAGCCCAGAATTTACCCAGGAACATGGGAAAATTGGACTAGATATCTACCAGCTATTTTAGCTGAGATAAGAGTGATTCCTCACAAGGTGACTAAATTATCTCCATTTGAGATTTTGATGGGATGACCTTTTCCCACACCCTGGGCCAGGGAACCGCTTGTTATAATGTCTGGGGATTTACAGCTAATACAAGAACAATATGTACAGGAGTTGTTGATAAAACTGAATGGTATGTATGACAATGTTTCTTCGCAGTTTTCCCTTACCTTCACAGGAACCTACTCATTCATACCAGCCCGGTGACAAGGTGTATATCCGTCAGCTGAACAGGACCAAGAAAGGAGGATACCCTTTTGGACCACCTGCTACTGTGATTGCTGTACCCAGAACCGCTGTCCTCACAGATTCCCATGACATCTGGATTCACGCATCCCGAGTGAAGCTGTGTCCAAAGAGGGGAACCAAGGAAGACAACACCACTCCTCGCTCGGAAACAGAAGAATTTCTCCTCAGCGAAGCATCATGGTTTTCACACCATATCGTAGATTGAGAGGATCATACGTACCTGAGACCAAGATTATGTTGTGCGCTATGCTTTCTGGAGTTGTTATACTCCCTCTGATATTGTTCCTTGAATGCCATTATGAGTACAAGTCAATGGCAAGTTCTGGAAAAAGACTCTGACATGATGAACAATTCTTCAATACCCCCAGCCCAATTAGGCCTTAGCTCCTCATCTAGCATTCGTCACACACACCCCCTCAAGAACCTTTCTCCACCACCTTTCTATCAGCATGCAATATGCAATCATTCATTTACTGAACGCATTTGGATGAATTGGACAAATAGTAACCCTTATAAGTACCAGTTACCCATATGAAATGTGTCTACAGCTAATGAAACCGATGCATTATGTTTGTTTAAAGGTTCACAGAAAATTGTTAGATCTTATAACGCAGAAATGTGCACAGTTAAGGTTGCATATCAATGTAAACAGACAGGCCTTGTTACTTTTAATAATGATTATATAACTGGTATCATTAATTGGAGAAGGGGACAAATGTTAGTCATTATGAACGACACTACAATTGAGAACTATACACTACCTTATATTTTTACACCTTATTACTGTCCTTCATCCACTATCATAGAACCAAAAGTCAAACACGACACACACACACCTATTCCGTCCACATGTGTTAATACAACTGCCTTCTTACAAGCTGTACATGTGTCATTAAAAATCACTACTCCTGTTGTAACATTATGTAATACAACAAACAAAGGCAGAAAAGGGAATGGTATGACACACTGTTAGATGGTGCTGGAACCACTATGGGTATACTAAATAGTTATAGATATGGAGACCCTCAAGAATAAGTTAAACACAGCCAGCATGCATATAGGGACTCGTTTTCATGCTACTGCAAATTGGGCTCCAATTGTTGTTAAATCACAGGTTATAGGATTGGATTTAGATAAATCAATGTATAATTATTTAGATAATTTAACTGTTGCAACTATGAAATTCACTACAGGTTTAAGTAACTGGAGTACTTGTGCCATCAGGTATTTATGGATACAACAACAAGGATTGGCATTAGAAAACACACTAATGATTCCTAAACTAGAGAAGAT